GCACGTATGAATGAAATGTAGACTTCCTTGCTATCATCTCTTTCCGCACGTACCCGTCGCAACGTCACTCGCCAGGGTAATGACACTCGCCAGGGGGAGGTTGATTCCAATACATTTGCATTTGACATGGGAATGCTGGGAGTTTTCCGCGAAAAGGTTTCAGGTGAATCCATGTAATGACCGTCCATTTTTAAATTCATCTGGTTATTGATCTGGTTATTGTGCAGCGCCTTATGACCTCGGTGCCTATGTTGCCGCACTTTGAGACATGATAACTACGAGAAACACTGCAAGGTGTTTCACAGCATAAGAGGCCCTGGAATCCATTGAAGGATAGGTTCAGCCTCTAGAAAGGGCTGCATGTCGCAAACGGGCCCTGTATGAATATTTCATACGATGCGATAAATTTGACCGTTAGCAGGACTCAGACCCCGAATTCGTTGAAAAAGGTGAATCCCACTGATATTCTGTGGACGTCCTTGGCAACGGTATCTCGATGATTACGTCCGCTAGCTTAGTCAATTTGCCAGGCAAAGTTGCCCTCTTTGGTTGAACGTATAGTTTGGAGTGTAGGTCCCCAAAAATTCAACGTAGTACTTAAAAATCTGCCGGAAGAGGGTGAGATTACGCCACCGCCCCAAGAGGTCTATTCGAGGCGTAGATAACACGACTCGGAATTTTGGGCAATGTTTATAAGTATTGCTCGTGTTCTCGAAGGAGGTGGTAACTCTGCTCTACTCTTTCATGAGATAGCGAGTCTCCACTCTTCTTAGGAGACATTGCGTGGATACGTCCTCCCTATTCCATTCAACAAATGCGATCGCTCCAGCGAAGGTGGAGAACATACTCTCCCCTAATTTGACCCTGTACATTTTACGCTTATCTCCTCGGAGTGGAAATCCTATATAGCATCATCGTGAACTACGAATTTCTTCAGAGCTCATACAATGTTTACCTCTACTTGCTCGACCTCACCCCTTTTTGACTCGTTCGCTTTTGTGCCGGCGACACCAGGTTCTAGCCGGTCGCCGTGCCCTGCGCTCAATTCCCTGGCCAACCATGGTTACATGTAAGTAGCGGTACACATATAGAGCAGAAATAATCCCTGACTTTCTTGGATGTAGTCCGCGTGATGGGTCGAACATTTCATTCTGGACACTGTTCACTGCGATACGACACGTCTACAATCTCTCATTCCCTCTGACTATGCTTCTAACAACTGTTGGATTTCTCACATGCGGCACCTTTTCCCTCTTCTCTCGCAAACAATCAGAGACAACTCACGACAATACCCTACTAACGACCATCGCTCGCTTCCTTCCGTATCCATCATGGACCCTTAACCTCGCTTCCCTCTGCACCACCGGACCATACAAGATTGCACACGACGCATCACTTGTGCACAAATACGTCCCTGGAAGTGCGTCAGAACCTTCGCTGGTGGCGCGACTTCTCACGCTTTCTCATCACAACCACTCTTCCCCCTATGGCCCAACACTCTCTATCTCAGTCAAGGAAAAATACCAAGATGGTCTAACCCTGTGCGACCTCGGCTGCCTGCACGCTGAGCGGGAAGACGCCCTTCCTCCTACGCACAAGCTCAATAAATTACATGAGCAGATCGCACTCGGCGAATGTGGCCTTGCGTGGTGCGTTATGCGTACACACGACAAAGACACGGATCAGGGTGTTATTCCTGCAAGTGTTTTGGAGCAGTGGTTTGGTGAAGAGCGTTTGCCAGATGGGTGGTGGGATGTCGGCGGTGGGAGGCCGATCAAGGAAGTGGGGCTAAGGGACGCGGCAAAGCGAGCGGCGGAAGTGGGGCTGTTTAAAGAACAATTCTGAAGCACAGGTTTATTCTTCTGTACTTTGTTGCGAAACCAATGATACACCGTTCAATCATATATGAGTGTACCTGAGTCACTCACAAATTTGCGTTGAACATGGGAGGGCACACAGTCACTGAACGAGGCGAATTACTTTTCAACGATTCAGCAAACATTTTACCTTTGATTAGATTTGTATAAGCGTACATCTTCTGGTGAATGAAGTACATTTTTACAATATAAACGACGGTACGACGGAACCGACAGCGATGACATTGATCTTGATAGGATGAAACAAGCCAAAAAATGTAGCCCCCGTGTCATAGTCATACGTGGGATAAATAAATACTGGACTGACAATATACACATCCTAACTTGCGCCACCTTGTTAACACCTCCGTCGAAAAAAACTGACTGACCGATCGTGTTGGTCCTTTGAATTGCACTGTTATACAGAGCACGCAAATAGAGATAGCTGTCTTTTGGTCAATTGAAGTTCTGATTCTCTATCGACTCACACACAATAAAAAGGACAGACTGCCACGTACCCGGATTGAACGAGTGACCTTCGCATAGCACAGTGAGATGCAATCCACTGTTACAAGTGCGACGCGCTACCACTACGCCAACGCGGCTGTTGAAAGTCCCAGAGATGTAGGCAACACGACACGCGATCGCAGATGGATAGGAGGACGATGGAGTTTGCGGCGCAAAGGCCGAATTTAGAATGAGCGTCGATATCATGTCTCAGATAGAGATTGATTGAACTTTAAATATTCTAAAATTAGAAGAGAAGAAAAAAAAGAGAACAAAACGGCCAACAGCTGCGTCGATGTTACCACAGAAGGGGGGACACATCTCGCGTTGTGCAACCGGCGTTCATGTACCAGTACTCTTCTCTGTCCTTGCACGTGCGCGCGGTTCCGTCCGCATCCCTGGCGGGAGCACGTAACAAAGATGCACCATCACATTAGAAGTGTTCGCGTGTTTGTTTGTCAGTCATTCAAGTACTTCGACTAACTCTTTTTTCAAAAAGAACATATCCTGCCACGTACCCGGATTGAACGAGTGACCTTCGCATAGCGCCGTGGGATACCACCACAAGCTACAAGTGCGACGCGCTACCACTACGCCAACGCGGCTGTTGCAGTCCAGAGAAAGATAACACACTAGATGGTGCGCAATGGCCCAATTTGGATCGACATCCCAAGGAAGAGAAAGAACCAAACGGCCATCAGCGGCGTCGATGTGAATAGAGAAGGGGGACACATCCCGCGTCGTGGGAACGGACGGCGTTCGTGTCTCCCAGCGCTCTCCTCTGTTCTTATCGATCTCATTGATCACAATATGATTCTCGAGCCATCCAGTTCCATGCCCCTTTCTTCCCGGTCCTCCAAGTTGCTACGCTGATTCATTCAACAAGTCCTTGATTCGTAGCGTAACAACTCCCCAGACTCACCGTGCACCTTCCATTACCTGACAATAAACGCACTTCCAAGCATCCTCGCACTTTTTTTTCTTCATCTCTAGTGGCTTGAACTACAAGCTCATTTGAGCCCCCGAGAAACAAGGGACACCAAGCATTCTCGCACTTTTTTTCTTCATCTCTAGCGGCTTAAACTACAAGCTCATTTGAGCGCCCTAGAAACAAGGGGCAGATCCAACCTCACTTCACATAGATAAACTTTCACACCCTACCCCTTGTCCCCGGCTCAGCCCACAAGTCTCCCCAAACCCTCTCACAGAGCCTGTCTGTGCAGCAGGAAAGTGGAAAGGAACAGACAGGAAGCAAAGTACTACAGCTCACAAAGGCAGAGAACTATTAAGCTTGCCCAGAAATTTCTCAAGAATCCGGACAACATATTATCCCCAAAAGGAGATTTTCATGTTATTCTATCATTTCATTTTTTGTGTACAAAAATACCTTTGTGCGCTGAACCTGAGACGGGCCTGAGGCCTCCTCCACCCCTCGCTGCACTTTCTTGCTTTCATTTCCACTTTCGCCCCGGTTCAGGCTCCTACTATTCGTAGTGTCGTAGTTGTATGTAGTCTGAGGCTACGTATTATAGATTAATCTCGTCAACTTGCGCCACTGCTTCGATTGCACGGCCTTCTCGTGGGGTGGCGTTCTATAATAACCCCGCTCCACTGATCTACAGACTCAAATCCTCAGCTCCCTAAACCCCCGCACGTCGACCCTCCCCGTCCCATTGCGCACCCACTCCTCCTCGCCGTCGCCGTCGCCGTCGCCCCCGCCGTCGCCGTCGCCCCCGCCGTCGCCATCTCCGCCTGCCCGCTTGAACCGGCCGCCGGGGATGACAATCTTCCCGGCGCCAACCCCGAGCGCCTTGCGCTGGCGCCGCGTGAGTGGCTTGTCCGCGGCGCGCTCTGCGCGCGCGCGCAGGCGCATCTGGCGTTTCGTCAGCGGGGGCGGCGGCGGCGGGGGTGAGGGCTCGGGGTCGGGCTCGGGGGAGGAGGCGGGGGAGCACGGGGCCGAGTCCGGGTCGGGGGAGGAGGGGGGCGTGGAGGGGGGGCGGGCGGCGGCGGGGTCGACGTCCATTGATGGGGCGGAGAGGGACGAGGGCGGGGACGCGGGGTGGTCGGGGGTGCTGCGGCGGGAGCGCTTGAGGGAGGCGGAGGAGGAGCATTCGGAGTCGTCGGCGGGGGCGGAGAGGGCGCGTTTGGGGGACGGGGCGGGGCGCGGGGGGGACGGGGCGCGGCTGGAGGGGAGGGGGACGGCGGACGGGTCCGGGGCGAGCTTGAGGGTTACTTTTTTGCGCGGGGCGGGGGACTCGCGGACGAGGGGCAGGCCGGTGTGTGGGCCGCGGAGGTTGCGGATGGACGAAAAGTGCTCCCAGTCGTGGTACCTGCGGCGGGTCAGCGGGGACGACGGGAGGGCAGGAGAGACGGCGCACGCGACGTAGACGGTGTCGGCGTCGGGGGGGTCCTTGTCCTGGCGCTTGTGGCGGGCAAAGGAGCTGGCCTCGATGACGTAGACGAGGCCGGGCTGGACGACCTTGACGTCGCGCTGCTCCATGTGGGCAAACGCGCTGAGCTCGAGGTGGCCGCCGTATGTGCCGGGCTCGCGCATGGCGCGGAGGTGGGCGGCGAGGCCGCGGTCGTCGTCGACAAAGGGCTCGTAGCGGTCGGGGTGGCGGGCGATCCAGTCGCAGATGCGCTGGCGGAGGTCGGGGTGGCGGGAGGGCGAGCCGTAGAGCTGGTCGGAGAGGGCGCGGAAGAGACAGTTGCCGTCGCCGAGGGTGTCTGCGGCGTAGAGGCCGAGGGCGCGGAGCTGGGTGGGGAGGAGGGCAGGGTCGGCGGTGCCGGTGAGGAGCTGGGGGACGGTCAGGGACGCAGCGGGGAGAGGAGAGCACGCACGCGGCCCCTGGAGGAGCGGGTCTGGCGGGAACGCACGGCGGGCGGCGGCTTGCCTTTGCCCATGGCGGCAGAGTGTGTGGTGGTGTTGTGGTGCTCATTGATTGTATTTACTGCTGTTTAACTACGATCCACGTGCTCCTCCACCAGCCGCGCAACACTCGCCCCGTCGACGGCAATCTCGGTCCCCTGGAAGCCCTCGGGGTAGTTGACGGGCGGCTCGTTCGGATGCGTCATGTACCTGCGCGGCGTCAGCAGCGTCCACACAAACACTGGCACGCACGTGTCGTTCCACACCGCATAGTGCGCCATGCCCAGCGCCCGCGTCGTCCAGTGGTAGTCCTGCGCAAACCCGCCCTCGTAGAAGATCTCCACCACCGCCGACGCCCGCGTGGGCTGCATGAACACCAGGTGCGTCAGCCCGTTCCCGTGCACGCCCAGCAGGATCTGCAAACCATCAGCACGCGCCCCGCGCCGCCGCGCCCACGCACCGTCGTCCGCGCCGCAGCCCGCACCTGCGCGTCCTTTGTCATCGTCTCCGCCTCCATCACCACAAACTCCCACCCCGCCCCGCGCCGCCGCACCAGCCCCTCCATCGCCCCCACCAGCCCCGCGTGGTCCGCCTCCCGCAGCTTCCGACGCGAGCCCCCCTGCCGGCTCACATACGTAATCACAACCCCCTCCCCCGCCCGCGCACCCGCATGCTCCCACAACGCCCCCCGCAGCGGCGCCCACCACGCGTCCGCCCCCCCGCCCGCGCCCGCGCCCGCGCCCCACCGCCCCCGCAGGTACTCCACCGCCTCCGCCGCCGTCCGCTGCGTCCGCCCACACACCGCCCCGCGGAACGCCGCGCTGCGGTCCGCAAGCAGCACCACGGGGAACCGCCACGCGCGCCCGCCCTCGCCCCCCGTGGTCCCCGCGACGCGGTCCGCCCAGTCCTCGCGCACCTCGACGCCCAGCGACGGGAACGCCGCCCGCACGAAATACGCATTGAACCCCGGCCCGTCGCGCCACCCCCGCGCGTCCGCATGCGGGAACACCACCCGCGCCACCTCGGGCGGCCCCGCGGGCGGCGCCGCGTGCGCGCCGCTCCAGAACGCCCACGCGCCGAAGAGCAGCTCCCCGACAAAGTGGTAGTAGTGCCCCAGGAACTGGTCCGGGTCGTTGAACAGGAACTGTGCGCGGCCGCGGCGCATCGTCAGCGTGCGGTGCTCTGCTCTCATAGCCCTCGCTGCACTCACCGTGTTGCCCTCGACGACGCGCACGCCCCCGCTCCAGCGCGCGCGCGCATGCGCGGGCGCGACAAAGTCCATGTCGTGCGCGGTGGGCTCGCGCGCGGCGATGCTCTCGGGCGTGTTGTACGCCACGAGGCCCGTGCTCGTCATCATCCGCACCGCGGGGAACTCGCCCGCCTCGCCCACGATGTACAGCGTCCCGTTTGACATGTACAGATCGCGGAACAGTGTCCACCCCGGTGCGTGTGCGATTATCGATGTCTGTGGGAGGTCCCCGGCGGCGGCGGGGGGGGGGGGGGGGGTGGTGGTGGGGGTGGCGGCGGTGGTGGGGGTGGTGTCCTGTGCAGCGCCGGCGTCGTCGAGGAGCGGCTGGATCGTCCCTCCGCAGTCGTGTGCGTGCAGTTGCGCTTGTACGTCGTCCCCGTCGACGTTCACGGCATCAAACCGACCGCCCGCGTCAAAGGGGGAGCGCGCGGGGGCGCCGTCGAGGAGGTGCCAGAGGTGCCAGAGCGCGCCGCCGAGGACGAGGAGGAGGGCGTCTCGTCGTGAGACGGTGTGTCGGAAGCGGAAGAGCATTTGCGTGGGTGTTGGGATTGGTGTTGGTATTGGGTTCTAGCTTTTTGGGTTTGTGTTTGCGGTGTTGGTGTTGGTGTTGGTGTTGGTGTTGGTATAAGGGTGGTGCTGGTCTTGAGCACTAGACGCCTGGTGATGTGGCAGCCAAGGAACGAACGAACGAACGAACGAACGAGGGAGCGAGTGAGCGATCATCATCATCATCACCCATCACCATGCTGACGAATATCCCAGGGAGAAAAGAAAACAACAACAAAAACAAAAAAAGAAAGGAAAAGACAAGGAAAGGAAGATCCTCGCTCCACTGCGCTCCCACACCCGTGGTTTGGTCCCCGCATCACCATCACCATCACCATCACCAGCACGCCGACGGGCGTGCGCTCCCACGCGCGCGGGTCGGGGTACCCGTGTGCGTGTGCGTGCGCCTTGTAGCGACCCCGAGCACGAGTGCGAGGGCGGTGCGTGTGTATACTAACCCGGCCTGATTCGAGGGTGGAGTGGGTGTCACGCATGCCGCCTCGGCGGTCAGGCGGGGTTTGGAGTGGTTGATTCGGCAGGTCGAAGGCGGCGACGGATGGGAGGGAGATTTCACGAGACATATAGACGAGTGGTGTGGGATGCTATACTATACTACGTGGGAGGAGCGCTATCTCCGGGGACACTGTCAAATGAGGACACAACCAACCCGGGTAAAAGTCGGTTTGCGGCGAGCAATCTGAGGGTGCAAAGTACGAGTACATAGATGCATACGTGATTGTTCAGTGTCATCGCTCCTGGGCAACTGCGTTTTTGGGTACAGGCATCAGGCATCAAGCCTTTGATGTGTATGGCCAGGGAACTTTGGGCCATGCATGGCTTGGTATCTTGCCTTTTTGTTGCAGGATCTACCCTGACGTGATTCAGACATTTTTTGATGGGTTCTTTGATGGTGAGGAGAGATGACGAGGGTTGGAAGAGAG